CCTGTGTGTAATTCAATCTCAGTATAAATACAGCTGTTCTGTGAAGCCCTCAGAGGTTTGTCAGAGAACATTAGTGAACAAACGGCATCATGAAGGCCAAGGAAGACACCAGACAGGTAAGGGATAAAGTTGTGGAAAAGTTTAAAGCAGGGTTAGATTATAAAAAAAATATTTCAAGCATTGAACATCTCACAGAGCACGGTTCAACCCATCTGAAAACGGGAAAGAGTATGGCACAGCTGCAAACCGACCAATACGTGGCTGTCCACTTCAACTGACAGGCTGGGCAATGAGAGCATTAATCAGAAGCAGCCAAGAGGCCCATAGATTCTGCCCCCTGAGCTGTGGATCTCTGCAGCTCCTCCATAGTGACTGTCCACAAGGCGACTATTAATCGTGCACTCCATAAATTTGGTCTTTATGGAAGAGTGGCAAGAAGAAAGCCATTGTTGAAAGAAATCCATATGAAGTCCCGTTTGCAGATGAGACCAAAATCGTTTTTTTGCCACACATAGCGGTTTGCCTTTAGGCAAAAAGTTCAAACACTGCATACCACCCTGAACTCTCCATACTCGCTGTAAAACATGGTGGTGGCAGCATCATGTTGTGGGGGTTATTTTCTTCATCAGGGACAGGGAAGCTGGTCAGAGTTGAAGGGAAGATGGATGGCACTAAATAGAGAGCAGTCTTAGAAAAAACCCTGTTAGTCTGCAAAAGACTTGAGACTGGGGCAGAGGTTCACCTTCCAGCAGGACAACGAACCTACACATACAGCCAAAGCTACAATGGAATGGTTTGGATCAAAGCATATTTGTGTTAGAATAGTGAAAGTTCAGACCTAAATACAATTGAGAATCTGTGGCAAGACTGAAAAGTGCTGTTCAGACACTTTCAATCTAATTTCACAGAGCTTGAGCTATTTTGCAAAGATTAATGGGCACAAAATTTCACTGTAGATGTGCAAAGCTGGTAGAGACCTAACCAAAAAGACTTGCAGCTGTGATTGCAGTGAAAGGTGGTTCTAAATAGTATTGACTCAGGGGGGCTGAATACAAATGTACGCTACACTTTTCAGATCTTTAACCACCTCCCGTTCAGCCGTTGTATATAAACGGCCAGATGGTGGCAGTGCAGGGTCAGGTGGCCGTTTATAAACTGCCTCCCCGCCCCCTGCTTGTGTGCGCGCACTCCCTGGGAGCGCGCAGCACCGCGATATGGTCCCCCGCTGTGTCCTCCAGACACAGTGGAACACCGATCATAGAATGGGACCTCTGGGTGAGGTCCTGATCATGTGATCACTGATTGACCAATCGGTGATCACATGCTGAGTAGTAAGCAAGATGTCACTTCTGACATCATTGCTTACTAGGTGTGAAATCTGTGAATGATCATAGAGGTCACATGGTACAAGGCTATTCACAACAGCCTTGTACCATGTGACAAGCTGTGACCAATCACAGCTCACACAGTTCTCAATGGCTGCAAGAATGCAGCCAGAGAGAAGGAGTAATGATTGCTTTTACAGCCTTTATGGGTGTAAAAGCAATCTGTGTAAAAAAAAAAAAAAAAAAAAAAAAAATCTTCATCACCACCCACAAGTAGTACAGTGTCACCATGGTGACACTGTACAGCTAGGGTGACAGTATGTAAAAAAATAAATGTAAATTTTTTTTTTAAAAGTTATAATTTTTGGTTATAAACTAATTTGGGTTATAATAATTTTTTTTTTTTTTTTTTTTTTTTTTTTTACTAAAAAGATAACTGAATACATTTTGGCCAAGATTTATGATGAAATATTTGCAAAATTTTGGAAACCCTTTTTTCCCAAAAATTTTGACTTTTTCATTTACATAGCAAAATTAAAAAGAATAAATACCACCAAAATAAAGCTTTATCTGTCTCAAAAAAATGCTAAAGTCATATGGGTGCAGTGTTGCATGACCGCGCAATTGTCATTCGAAGTGTGATAGCACTGAAAGCTGAAAATTGGCCTGGACAGGAAGGGAGTGAAAGTGTCCAGACATGAAGTGGTTAATTATAAAAAATTGTTGCTTATGTAGAATCTGTGAGCAAATTTGTTACAAGTTCCTCTGGAACTGATATTTGATACTTTTCCACTACTCGGTAAACTTCTCCAACCAGTTTTTGTGCTTATAGAACTCTGCCACTTGAGATGTTTGTGAAAGTTCTGTTAAAGTTGTAACAGGCTCATGTATACCTTATTGACACATACAGTTGTGTTCAAAATAATAGCAGTCCGACATCACTAACCTGATCAATCACTGTTTTTGGTAGAAATGTTTCTACATGGCAAATAATTTACTAGCAGGTGTAGTAGAGTAATAGAAATCCAACAGACCCAACAGTCATGACATGCATGCTGCTAATTCTGTGTAATTGAATCACTAATTGAAAGGGGCATGTTCAAAATAATAGCAATGTGGAGTTCTATTAGTGAGGTCATTCATTCTTTGAAAAACAGGTGGCAATTATTGCCCTTATTTAAGGAAGGAAGGCAGCAAATGTTGTACATGCTGGTTACTGTGCATTTCTCTCTGAAATTCTGAGGAAAATGGGTCGTTCCAGACATTGTTCAGAAGAACAGCGTACCTTGATTAAAAAGTTGGAGAGGGGAAAACCTATAAAGAAGTGCAGAAAATGATAGGCTGGTCAGCTAAAATGATCGCAAATGCTTTAAAATGTCAACCAAAACCTGAAAGACGTGGAAGAAAGTGAAAAACTACTACCATTCGAATGGTTAGAAGAATAGCCAAAATGGCAAGGACTCAGTACTCACAGGTAACTTTAGACCACCTTTGATCTTCCTGGAGCTGATTGTTCACTGTTACAATTAGACGCCTATGTGAAGCCAAGCATTCTGCAAGAAGCCCCCGCAAAGTCCCACTGTTGAAAAAAAGACGTGCTGAAGAGGTTACAATTTGCCAAAGAGCACATTGACTGGCCTAAAGAGAAATGGCGCAACATTTTGTGGACTGATGAAAGTAAGATTGTTCTTTTTGGGTCTAGTGGCTGGAGACAGTTTGTCAGACGACCCCCAAACACTGAATTCAAGCCACAGTACACTGTGAAGACAGTGAAGCATGGTTGCGCAAGCATCATGATATCGGGATGTTTCTCATACTACGGTGTTGGGCCTATTTATCGCATACCAGGGATCATGGATCAGTTTGAATACATCAGAATACTTGAAGAGGTCATGCTGCCTTATGCTGAAGAGGAAATGCCCTTGAAATGGGTGTTCTAACAAGACAACGACCCCAAACACCAGTAAACAAGCAACATCTTGGTTCCAGACCAACAAGAATGACGTTATGGAGTGGCCAGCCCAATCACCGGATCTTAATCCAATAGAAAACTTGTGGGGGTGACATCAAAAATGCAGTTTCTGAGGCAAAACCAAGAAATGAAGAACTGTGGAATGTAGTCCAATCATCCTGGGCTGGAATACCTGTTCACAGGTGCCAGAAGTTGGTTGACTCCATGCAACACAGATGTACAGCAGTTCTCAGAAACAGTGCTTTATACAACTAAATATTCATTAAGTGATTCAAAGGAAAGCAAAATCTTCAAACATTTTTCATTTTATATAGTGAATGTTTGAGTTTGTAAAGAACAAATTTGATATATTTTTTCTTCATGTTTTGATTTGGATTAGAAGGTGTAATGTTCCCAATGCATTTGTGTATGGAAATAAAAGCTATTAGAAGGATTTTGAGCTTTATTCACTTTTTTTCTACCCACTATTATTTTGAACACGACTGTACATGAATGTATCGTTGTTTCTGACATGTAGTTGTACTGTCTTGGGACACATTTCTAAAGAGTATATCTATGACACTCTAAGTGTTCCAGTGATTGTGTTTTCTTTAGAAAACCTTCAATTTCAACCTCTTTAGTTTGCGGACACCTGCCATACTATGTCAGCAGCAAAAACCTCTTTTTCTTCCTGTATTTTCCTGTTACCGTGTGTCTGAAATACGTCTTTTGCAATAATATGAGCTTGTAATAGCTGGGTATTTATATTGCTGGATTTTAGTGATTTTGCCAAATGAGGAGAATTGTCAATTCATTTTTTAAATGCATCAGTATTTCCATGCACTCGTGAGTTTTTTATAAGGTTATTTACTGGTTGGATAAATATTTTTGCCTATATTCAGAGGAATTAAAGTTCATTTTAACTTGGTTTTCATACTGATTTACTTAACAATGTAGAGGATGAATAATTGCCGATATGGACCCTTCCTAGAGTAGGTGCTACTTGGCCTCCAAAATACGTTTCATTGCTGATCCTGGTTTCTCTAGCACAAAGCAGGGAAAGAGGTGTGGCAGGTGCTGCATTAAGGGAGAAGTATGGCCAAGGCTCCTTTGCATTCCTATGACCCACAGGAGATGTATGGCCACTTTGTTCGGCGGTCTAAGGTCTGCTGTAGGCTGATGTCACAGGGGTTAGACAAGGCTCTGTAGGGATCCCTAGAATAATTTCAGGATTCGCCCAGATGCCTGAGCAGTAGCAGGCTCAGCTTCTCGGTGCACTGCCCCCTAAATCAGTCCAGCGACAGCTGGAGGGGTAGAGCACAGAGTGGTGACTAACAGTTGCTGCTCTGTTTAGAACTAAATGAGCAGTGGTCTTTGATCGCTCAGTTTGTGTAAAGCCAATCGATTCTGCAGCCATGTAGATGAGTGTATATGTTTGATTACCAGACTTCTGTTCTGTTCTAATCCTCTGTTACCAACTAATTACTTGAGGATGATATAGCTGAACAAGCCACTAAGCAAGGTAAGAAAATTTGTCACGGTACAGCTGATATGATGTATTCATCTTTCTTTGGCAGAAACACTTGGATATTTATCTGAACTGCTGACAATCAGTGCGCAAATCTAGCTTCAGACAAATGTTTTTGATTTAAAATGTATCGTTTATCATTTTGTATTCACAGGCTTGGTGGGTTGGACAGGACTTTTATGGTGACATCTGGAAGATGTGTTTGAATGCCACCAAAATGACGACATGCATGGAAATTGGAAGTAGTAACCCTAGTAAGTTCCAGCATTAAAATCTCAGTACTTGTTTACATTTATCACATTTGAAGTCAGTGATCTGCCACACTTCCCCAAATTGATCTCAAAGTAATGGGGGGTGCCTTTTGACTTGGAATACGCATATCCGCTTACAGCTCCAGAGTGCCCAGGTTTAGCAGGCTGCAGAGCCACATCTGTGTGCCTGTTTTTATTCCATATATCAGCCTTGTTACTTTAGGCATATGACAGGCTCAATTTTTTTTTTTTTTTTTTTAGGCCAATTTAACTGCAAATCGATGTTTTATGTGATTGCTGTCAATTTAAATTGGCTTCCTGTATCTTTTAGGAATTTCAGTGGTGAATAAGCTTCACCAGAGCACCCTACTAACAATTGCTATTATAATACCAAATGATGGTGTCATGTTCTCCTCAAGTATCTGTTTAATTTACTCTATGAACAATTTAAGGATTCACAGATGCAGGAGAGTGACGCGTTCCTTATGGCCCTACACAAAGGAAGATGCATATAACTACTGCAAATAAATCTCACCTATTGAATGAGTGTGATAAAGAAACAGATATGTGGTAATGTTAACCTTTTAAACTGCTTATCACATCCCCTTTAACACCCTCTTTCTCCCAAATATGTTACTTTCATGAACATTAAAACACTTCCTCTCCACAAATTGCAAGTCCTATAAGAATGTTGATTTTTACTCCAATGAAAGCCTATTTTTATGTCTTTGCTAAAGTACAAAAATACCTGATAACCCGTTTTAACTACTTTTAAGCCCAAGGCAGTTTTTAAATTATTTACACAGGTTTAAGCTTTTTTTTTTTTTTTTTTTTTTTTTATAAAAACAGTAGCAGGGACTAGGAGACTGCTGTGACTCCCAAGCTGGATTGTGTATCCATATAGCATGACGCATGGCTAATCAGAATTTCTAAAATTCTGTTCAATGATTTTAAACAACTGTAATATCAGGCTGCATCATTAAAAAAAGAAAAAATTAAAATGAAGGGGATCTGAATACGTTATGAATGCAGTGTGTGTATGCATGTACAGTATCTCACAGAAGTGAGTACACCCCTCACATTTTTGTAAATATTTTATTATATCTTTTCATGTGACAACACTGAAGAAATGACACTTTGCTACAATGTAAAGTAGTGAGTGTACAGCTTGTATAACCGTGTAAATTTGCTGTCCCCTCAAAGTAACTCAACACACAGCCATTCATGTCTAAACCACTGGCAACAAAAGTGAGCACACCCCTAAGGGAAAATGTCCAAATTGGGCCCAATTAGCCATTTTCCCTTCTCGGTGTCATGTGACTCATTAGTGTTACAAGGTCTCAGATGTGTATGGGGAGTAGGTTTGTTAAATTTGTTATCGTTCTCATACTGGTCACTGGAAGGTCAACATGGCATCTCATGGCAAAGAACTCTGAGGATTTGAAAAAAAGAATTGTTGCTCTACATAAAGATGGCCTAGGCTAGAAGATGATTTGGTTTGATTATATTATTGAATTAAATGTATTATAATATTTTTTATGTTTATTAAATTTATAATTTATGATTTCGTGTTTCAAATTTTAACATACCTGGGATGTATACTAGGCTCTTGTTCTGACAGATTTCAGTGAGTTATTCCTGAAAATTACAGGCCTACAATAAAAAAAATACATATTTCCATACAAAAAAATGTAGCGCTTGAGCACAGAAACACTGACATAATCAGACCGCTATGGAGGTCAAGGAAAAAAGTTAATAAACATGATCTGCTCTTAAGAGGTTTATTTGTTTGTTTTATTGCGTTTTTTAGTTTTCTTAGCTGGAAGAGAACTAATTCAAAATATATATTTTGTTTCAGATTTTCAGGCCATTCAGGCTATTCAGGCTACTATGATCCTTTCAACCATACTTTGTTGTATTGGACTTCTGAGCTTTGGTCTTCAACTGTTCCGGCTGAAACAAGGAGAGCGATTTGTATTCACTGCTATCATCCAAATGTTGTCATGTGAGTAAATCTTATGTGGTTGTATGTAGATTTTTTTTTTTTTTTTTCCTTCTTGTATTGGACAACTCATTTTCTATTTTTTTTTTTTTTTTTTTTTTTTTTTTAATTAAGCGTACATTACACAGGATGAGTATTTAGGTACACTGCGTCATGCCGATGCCTTCAGGCGATTGGGCACCAGCAAAAGAATTTAAAGATCAGGTGAATCTTGGCTTTGCCACCGAAGCTGTACCTGCACCCAGCTGAGTATAAGAAGCGGGGTGGCATGTAATGTCATATTTTTTTATTTTTTATCTTTTTTTTTTTGTCACTGGACTCTGCTTAAGGTGCCTGCTTAGGTACCCATGTGGTGGAATATGTTGAGTCAGCCACATATGCTTTTTAGATCCAGCTCCAGTTAGTACACTCCTAGTGAAACATTGACCCCGAAGACCTTTCTTTAGTAGTCTTCTTTAACCACTTCAGTGGTTAACCGTCCGTCAGTATTATCCCTGGACATTTCAATAATTCCTTCCCACTGAGTGCATGCATACACAGCATGTGTCCTCACAGAAGTGTATCTTTATTTGTGAGGCTATATTAAAAAATGTAAAAGTGAGCGCTATCCAGACAGCAGCTGAGCACTCAAGGTAACCAACATAAGCCTTATAAACCGAATGAGTAAACAGTGCAGCGCTAAAACTATGATAAACAATATAAAATTAAAGAAGAAAAACCGAGTTCAATTTAATCAGTCTGTGTGGTTATAAAGTGCCAGGTGACTGGTAGAATTCAATCGCGGTGCTCCGTGAGGAAAGGCAGAATTACGCACTCACCAGATGGGCAACAGTTATACGCATTAAATATCACATCCAGAGGTTTCCTCATCAGATATGGGTCTGGTCAGGGTTAAGGTAATCCTCCCTCAAGGTGGTGGTCATCAAATGCCCAGAATCGAAATTACTCGGATCCAGGTAACCAGAGCTCCCTTTAAGGGATAGGTAGAAGAGGCTGCCTGGTTACAGGATGTCTTCCTTCTCTGGGTAAGGCAACTGGATCATAATTATGGGCTCTGCAAATAAATGCTCCTCTCAGGGAGTCAGGGAAGGATGTCCATAGTGTAGTATTTAAATTAAATATTTGAGTAAAAAAAGATGTTTGCAAACAGTATAAAATGAAAAAACCACACCAGGGGTGTAGAAGTGAAACTAACCCTCCGGTAGTCAAAGATGGCCGCCGGGCCTCCACGTGGCTCCGGCGGTGTACTGCCACAACGTCCTGGTCCCTCCTTACGCGTTACGTGCGCACGCACTTTCTCTGATGGATCCACGTAGGAATCGGGATCTGATCCGAGTAATTTAGATTCTGTCCATTTGATGACTACCACCCTGAGGGAGGATTACCTTAACCCTGACCAGACCCATATCTGCTGAGGAAACCTCTGGATGTGATATTTAATGCGCATAACTATTGCGCATCTGGTGAGTGCGTAATTCTGCCTTTTCTCACGGAGCACCGCCATTGAATTTTACCAGTCACCTGGCACTTTATAATCACACAGACTGTTTACATTGAACTCTGTTTTTTTTTCTTATTTAATTTTATATTGTTTATCATAGTTTTAGCGCTGCACTGTTTTATTTGTGAGGCTGCATGTATGTGCTACTGTGGTTGTGGGAGAGCCAAGCTGTTAGCTGTGGGTCTTGTACTAATAGGTCTGAGGGCATTTTTCTGATCACTGTGATTGGCTGTGTTTTTTTCTTTCTCCTCTTGAATGTAGAGAAATGTGCATTTTAATTTTTCTCCATGGTAGAGGACAACAAAATGTAAACAAACCATAGATAAATAGTTCACATAGCTAGATCAGATGCAATCCAAAGACAAACGAAACCAGCACTCAAATCTTCATGCAGACTAAAAGGAATTCAGAATGCCAAACGAGGAGGTGCAGCCCTTCAAAGATTGGGAAATCTGGATACTGATAGACAAAAGCAAACAAGGGCGCACTCTCATCATGCATTACCGTGGTACACCACGTATTTATTGTGTAGACAAATAGATGTATACTCACAAACCAAAGGAAAATCAAAAGCAGAATATGTAGTCTGCAATGGCAGTCAATACAATGCTGTGCCCTGGGTAATGTGTTAGGAATATAAGGATGCCCCATCGTTTGTAGGTTGATAATTTTCATTTCCATCAAAGACACCCCAAAAATCAGAGGACTGAATTCAAAGTGAAAAAATGATGCAGTAGGCTAGTCCATTTTGCTGAAGTCTTATTGCAGCAACTCAAAATGGTACTCAGTGGTTTGTATGGCCCACATGTGCTTGTATTCATGCCTGACAACGTCGGGGCATACTCCTAATGAGACAACGGATGGTGTCCTGGGGTATTTCCTCCCAGATCTGGACCAGGGCATCCCTGAACTTTTGGACAGTCTGAGGTGCAACCTGGCATCGTTGGATGGACCGAAACAAACCCAGAGGTGTTCTGTTGGATTTAGGTCAGGCGAGCGTGGGGGCCATTCAATGGTATAAATTCCTTCATCCTCCAGGAACTGTCTGCATACTCTCGACACATGAGGTTGGGCATTGTCGTGCACCAGGAGGAACCCAGGACCCACTGCACCAGCGTAGGTTCTGACAATGGGTCCAAGGATTTCATCTCAATACCGAATGATAGTCAGGGTGCTATTGTCTAGCCTGTAGAGGTCTGTGCATCTCTCCATAGATATGCCTCCCCAGACTATCACTGACCCACCACCAAAAACGGTCATGCTGAGCAATGTTACAGGCAGCATAACGTTCCCCGGGGCTTCTCCAGACCCTTTCACATCTGTCACATGTGCTCAGGGTGAACCTGCTCTCATCTGTGAAAAGCATAGGGTGCTAGTGGCAAACCTGCCAATTCTGGTGTTCAATGGCAAATGCCACTATGGTGCCGGCCAGTGAGCACCGGGGCCATTAGAGGACGTTGGGCCCTCAGGCCATCCTCATGAAGTCTGTTAGTGATTGGTCAGAGACATTCATGCCAGTGGCCTGTTGGAGATCATTTTGTAGGACTCTGTCAGTGCTCATCCTGTTTCTCCTTGAACAAAGGAGCAGATACCGGTCCTTCTAATGGGTTAAGGACCTTCTACGGCCCTGTCCATCTCTTCTAGAGTAACTGCCTGTCTCCTGGAATCTCCTCCATGCGCGTGAGACTGTGCTGGGAGACGCAGCAAACCACCTGGCAATGGCACGTATTGATGTGCCATCCTGGAGAAGTTGGACTACCTGTGCAACCTCTGCAGGGTCCAGGTATTGCCTGACCCTGACCCTGGCCAAATGCAAAACTAGTGATAAACCGTCAGAAAATATGAGTAGGGAAAAGTCAGTGGCCTCCACCTGTAATACCATTTCTGTTTTGGGGGTTGTCTCGTTGTTGTCCATCTAGTGCACCTGTTAAACATTTTTTCAGCTGCTTTGGTGTTAATGAAGTTATCAACAACCCCCCTCTGCTACCTAACTGACCAGATCAACATCCCAGTAGTTTAACTTGATGCTATACTATGTTTTACCTTAATCATGAAGGGGTTAAGGAAGTCACCACCGGGAAAGACTACCCTTTTGCCCTAGAATAGGAAAGTATAACGGCCATCTGGAAAACCCTCTACTCCTGAGGCTTAAGAGTTCCCCTTGTTTAACTCAGCCCTCAAGGTCCAAGGCAAAGCCTGAAGCTCAGTTTCAACTTTATGTCCTGGACCTCAAAGTCCTTCAAGTCAATAAGCAATTCATCTTCAAAATAAAGGGGAACCCACACTTTTCAGAGTGGGGGGACACCTGTTGACCTTTGAAGCCATCTGATCTCACAAACATCTGATATTCTATTTCCACCCTGCTTTTTGTTGTTCTGCAGTGCAGCTCCTATCTCAAGGAGCCATAACCATTGCCCAAGAAAAGTAGAGGTTCCAATATTTCTATTCAAACTGTCCCTAAAGTATAAAAGAGACATCTCTGCTCCTATTCATTTTTTGTATGAGTGTCTTGGACCCAATGGTGCCATTCTAAAGTAGGTCCATGTGCCCAATTTCCCTCAGGTTTGTTGCTTCTGACAGTGTGGGACAAGAGGGTCCAGTCTCTGGATCATCCCATATGGATGACCAGCAGGACCTGGCTTGCGCTGGTATGGTGGGTTACACATTTTGGCACTGGAATCAGAAACATCCTTACTCTTAATGTTTTGGAAAGTACACACACAACAGATGCCAGTCTATCAGACCTATTTATTTTAGGAAAAAAGGGTTTACAACTGCTTTTAGCTGTAAAGAATCCTTTATTGTGAAATACAAGGCCAAAAGTCAAGGGCATTTTTGGGTTTATAGCCTATTGGCCTACTGCTGATGGATATACAGTATACTTTTTATTATATCAGTCAACTTCCATGCTCATTGGCTCTCTTCTCCTCCTTTTTTGTTGAGATATAAAAAATGTGTCTTAAGCTGGTAGCTCCAAGCCTGGGAAACAGGCAATGGTAACAGTGGGATCTAAACCCTGTTAATCTTCCATCGATGAGAAGTACTACCTTGTCCAATTTAATTGGCAGAAAATGTGCCTTGATATAATTTGACAGTTTTTTGCTATCCGTTAATTTGTTTAATTTCTGTCCCACAGGTCTTTGTGTTATGATTGCAGCTGCAATCTACTCTTCCATGTATGAGAAGTTTCACCCAGACTTGGACATTAAGAATGGCACATTTGGATATTCCTTCATCCTCGCCTGGATTGCCTTTGCTTTCACTTTAATTAACAGTATCATGTACTTAATACTTAGAAAACGCAAATAAACCATAGTATATGCTAGACAAATTCACTACAGAAACCAAAATACAGATAACAGTTTTGTATATAATCCATTTTAATATGGTTTTATAGTAAAAGATATTTCTTAAAACATCATGTACTGTTCTCTTAGCATGTTTAACGCTAAGACTAATGCATTATACATGTATCCTGGAACATTGGCTCCTACTGGGAAAAGAATATTGCAATACTTGTATAATGTTATTTTACAACTTGAACTTTTTTGTTTAATTTTATATAAATATATTTTTGCTGTTTTTACTTTGAGATTTAATAAGCATAGGGTAAAGGTTTTATTGTAGCGACAGAGGGGGTAAGTTTGCGATTTAATAAATCAAGCTTGTTGGCTATATGAAAGAAGGACTAGGAATTTGTATAGACATTCTAAAAAAGCTTGCTGCCATAGAGACAATGGGGCATTTGGAGCAAAGAAAGATCCAGAATCCAGCTATTACTTCTACAGTACGAGCTGCAAAATACACCAGTAGCGGTTTCATCTTTGTATCAGCGATTTTAAAAATATATATTGAGGTTAATTTAATATTAATATCAAGCTATATCATAGAGATGTTTTTGACCTGCTTGTGTAAGGGTAAGTTGAGATTGTTGTGCTGTAGTCAGCCCTGTAACAATAGTAGAAATGTATGTGTCAAAGGAATTACTGATTTCTTTAAAGTAGATCTGAACCCAATCAACAAAATCCCATCAACTTTGGTTATTTCACTTCAAAAGTTACCTTTAATCATTTTAAATCTGCAGCTTTCTTTAAAAGAATACATGTTAATCCTTCCATGCCTTTGTGCATGTACTTTCTGTTTATGGGATGACAAAGCCCTGTCCCAAGTGCTCTCAAACGTTGCCAAACTTGCTTCCGATGGAGACTACAACCACCTGTGCTGACTAGTACAGTGCACAAGCATGTTTTTCAGTTGTCTGATTCAGGCTTGTTGGTCTAGAACAATGGCATAGAGCTGCCACTGGAGCTCATGCTTGTAGACAGGAAGTGGGTGCAAAGAGGCTAGAGGAGGTGAAACCTAATGAGATTAAAAAAGATTGATTAAATAAAACTGTTTTTGAGAAGGGGAGGAAAATGACAATTGTTCATTTGCGCAAACTAGTTCAGTTAGGGTTTACATCTACTTTAAATTGTTACTGCCTTTTGAGGTAGCTGCAAATAAATATGTATTTTTATCTTTGCTGCTCCAGGTTGTCACTGAGATGGATCTCTAGTCAGTTTAACTGTTTGAAGGTCCTACTGTATGAAACATCGAGCAGAGTGAAGTACTAATTGCTTTGCAATGGTCCCAGAATTTGGTTGGTCACCTTTCAAACTTGACCTGTGGACATATCTTTGGTGAAAGGCTATTGCCAATATAAAGAATGTTTGTATATTTAAATCCACTTTTTTAAAGTGCAAGAGTCCTGCAACTTTTGTTTACATTTAAGTTTTTAATTTTTGCCTCTATTCTTTTTAGTCATAGGTGTATATATAATCAGGTATCATTTTATCCTGAGCCATGACACCCTTGTTTCCGAATACACAGATGCAAAAAAAAAAAAAAAAAACCCAATACATTGAAAATTGGGGGGGGGGGGGGGAGAGATTGATTTAACAGGGCTATGGCTGAAAATGCTGATCGATAAAATTGTGAATGCATTTATCAAAGCTTGCAGACCAGAAACATGACCGTATATATTGAAATGTAGGGGAAAGCGCTCCTAAATAACACCAGTCATTAGTGTAACCTAGCGATGGGGAAATGCTGAGCAGCTGGTGTTGCTGTCGTCATCCATTATGTATTGCACTAGGGATATAAATGAGTGGACTGTCCCTGTGTAAGGTGCAAGTCATTCCTTAAGATGTTTTTAAAGTGCCAATTTTTTATCTGAACTAGAATTTTTGTAAGGCTTCATTATAATCATTACTGGAAGATTTGCTACTTAAAAATGTAACTAGATGCTCTTAAATGATGTACATATACAAGTGCAAATTTGTTTCTATATTTGTTTTGCATGTAGTTTTTAGTATTTAGTTATGGAATATGGTCATTGTATTGTTTAAAAAAAAAAAAAAAAAAAAAAATTTCTTTTAACATGCCTCCTGTATTTTTTCCTTTTACTACATATATGGTCTCTTTTTTTAAAACTGCATATGAATAACTGGTATACTTTGTATTTCTGATGAAGTGCGTATCAGGTTAGCATGGAAAAACTATCTATATTCTGATGCACAGTTTGCTACATTCCACCCAGCGAACCTATGTTTTTAGTCAGTGTATTGACATACTTAAACACAATATACTGTAATCTACACATCCCCAAATAAATGTGAGTTATTAAACTGCTGCATCGAGACTTAAAAAATGGTGTACACTTGCTAAGCAAAGACAGTAGGTATCTGAACTTGTAAAAGTGTGATTATACACAAATTTCAGAAGCTAACTGTTTTTTCTTTAACCTCAAATTTTTTTATTTTTTTTTTTAAATGCCAATTGATGTGCAATTTGCTCAAATCTGCAAATCAAATAGCTATGACTTTCCTTTCAATCAATTTTAGACTCCATTCCAATTTTGTATTTGATTGGAGCAGGTAAATCTGAAAAATCTATCATTTATCAGTGCGTTTGTCCACCATTAGAACTTCTGTGTATACCTATGCTTCCTAAGTGTATACATATGCACTTGCAATTATGTGGTTACATTTAGTTTTTAATTAAATTTAGAATTATTCCTACTTTGTTCCTCCTTTAACCCCTAGATACCGAGTGCACACAAATATGCGGCCTCTGTGCTGGGCCTTGACGCCGTGCGGCCGCATATTTGCGTACCATTTAAAAATACATATGTGCTGAGAGCGCACGCCCCCAGCACATATGGCCGTGACTCACAGAAAGCTCCCGATTTCCCTTTACGATTGGGATATTTTCTGATCATGTGACCGTGAATCACGGCGGTCGCATGACCCTAAAACCCGTCCCGCCTCCTGGCTTCTGAAACCCCTTAAAGGGCCAGGAGGCACCTGCGTAAAGGGGTTAAAGAGGAACTGAACCCCAGAAGCTGCCTAAAGTCAGGCAGGGAGTAAATGACTAGTCACTAGTATTGCGTTTTTGGTCTTTTTGCAGCTGATCTTTCCCTATTAACTTACAATGCCTTGTTCTGCACTGGGTCTCTCAACATACACACAGCTTTTGCTTCTGCATGTCAGAGCCTCTAGCAAGACTAAAAGATAGTAGCGTCCTCGCCTATTTCCATTCGACTAGCAGTCAGAGGCTGTGGTGCCTTGAACAAGTAACATTTCAAACCTTTCCTTACAACTTTGCAAATCTTAACTGTTTTGCATTCAGTTCTACTCTAAAGCTGGCTGTGCAGAGCAATACAAAGCAGCATGCTGGTGCTGACAGGGGAGAGATCTGTATTGTTTACATGATATGATTTTGTGCAGCCCCGCAGTAGTTCGGCTATAGGGCGGTCGGGAAGCTGATAACAAACATTTGTGATCAGGAAGGTTTTTAAAGGCTTCTTCTTTACCTCTTTGTAATTTTTTTATTTTTATATGTGGGCACTGCACACATAGCGGTGTACAATTCCAGCCAGCATGTGTCACAAGCAGAGAAAAAATAACTTCTATGTAAATATGAGAATTGGGTTATCCCAGTCTGGCCAAGAGTGCTGAACCATAAGAAGATGTAGGCACTGGCACCTTGAAAAAGACATCTTTTGTATGTGTCTGTCTGTGAGAATAGTTACTCTGGTAGTGTGAGAAAAAAGCCAAAAACATTCTTCCAAATTAGCATTGCCAATGAAAAGATTAAAGGTGAGCATCAGTTAATGTATGTCTTCTTCCTTTATACACCATCATACTCTGCTTTTTATGTATGGTAAATACATAAACTGAAAAGTACAGAGTCTTCTTTTATTTATTACAGGTACTTTATATAGCATCATCAATTTATGCAGCACTTTACATATATATTGTACATTCAGATCAGTCCCTAACCCTCCAGGGGTGTACAATCTAACACTGCCTACCTTTTAACGGTAACAATATTATAGGGAACAGGAACAATTGTATGAAAGAGAGAAACAAAATCTTATGGTGTTACTTTCAGTAATATCAAGTCTGCACAAATTCCTGAAATGCCACAATATAATTAAACGGTTTTTCATGGATAAGAGGCACGATGTTCTCAAGATACAGCCACTGTCCTCCATTTTTATTTATTTTTTTTTCATCCTTTATCTTTTATGTTGGCTGAACTAGATGGACCTTGTTGGAAGGTTTGCCCCCCCCCCCCCCCCCCCGGGAGTTATTGGCCATAAGCTTTACCTTTTTGGTGTCATCTTCAGTCTGGAGGCACATACTCACTCTTAACTCCACCTTTAGCAATCCTAGCAAGAAAGTTGGACTGAGGACTCACTTTACCAGCCTATATTGATTCACTATTCAATGCCATTCACCCTTTATTCTGGCCATAGGCTCAGAGGGGAGCCACCATCCTTTAAGTTACAAAGCCTTGCACAGTATGACCTCCAGACTTGCAGTGGGCTCCATTCTGTGGCTAGGAGGTTACTGCCTAAAGAGATCATGATCCTAATTAAAGTTCCCTAACTGACCCCACTCTCGCCCTATGCAGTTTCAGCTTCAATTTCAATACACTGATACTAAATGACTGCCTTGTATCCCAGTTTTATAGTAGGCGCTGGTTTATGCAAAATCCCCTTCATTGGTTCTTCGAAGCCTGAGGGCCATAGGGTGCCTTATGGTTTAAAAAAAATTAATTGCCTGGGAAAATTTGGAAAATAATTTTAAACAAGCAGGATTTGCTGTAGACCTCATTCCTTCTCATAACTTTAATTTTTGTACAATTTAGCTAATGTCCTCTCTATTCACTGTATCCTTTAACTTTCTCAGGGAGATTCTTGAGGTCTTCCTACATTTTCAGTTAGTGTAGTGTCATCTGCATATTAAAGGGGCATTAAACCC